TATGACACCCGAGTTTCGCAATGCCTTGTATCGCTGGGAGTTTGACAATGACAACGAGGCCAAGAATATACCCTACCAGCTGCAAAAGCTGTTTCTCAATTTGCAGACATCGTCGAAATCTTCGGTGGAGACGACAGACTTGACGCGCAGCTTTGGCTGGGACTCGACGGAGGCCTGGCAGCAGCACGATATCCAGGAACTGTGTCGCGTCATGTTCGATGCACTGGAGCATAAGTTTAAGAACACCAAGCAGGCAAATCTCATCTCTAATCTGTACGAGGGCAAAATGAACGATTATGTCAAGTGCTTGGAGTGCAATACGGAAAAGACGCGCGAAGATACCTTCCTTGATATACCACTGCCAGTGCGTCCGTTTGGCAGCAGTTCCGCCTACGGCAGCATCGAGGAGGCGCTGCGTGCATTTGTGCAGCCCGAAACTCTCGATGGCAACAATCAGTATCTGTGCGAGAAGTGCAAAAAGAAGTGCGACGCCCACAAGGGACTGCACTTCAAGTCCTTCCCCTACATACTGACGCTGCATCTGAAGCGCTTCGATTTTGACTATCAGACAATGCATCGCATCAAACTGAACGATAGGTAAATCATAGAGTCAACTTCAGCCACAATCCTCTCTTTAAAGTACATTTTTCCTTCCACAGAGTAACCTTTCCGCAAAAGCTGAATTTGAACAGCTTTGTGAATCGCAATGGACAGGGCGAACAGTATCAGATGAATGGCGCCAGCAATGTGGACGATTGCAGCACGGCGGACAGTGGCTCCGCCATGGACGAGGACAACTTGAGCAGCGGCGTGGTGACCACGGCCAGTTCCAGTCAGCACGAGAACGACATCAATGACGAGGACGAGGGCATCGACATGAGCAGCAGCACTGGCAAAAGCGCCAACACGGAGGCACGACTGAAACAGGAGCTGCTGTCGGGTCCCTATCTGTACGATCTGTTTGCCATCATGATACACTCGGGCAGTGCTTCAGGCGGCCATTACTATGCATATATCAAAGACTTTGACACTGACGAGTGGTTCTGTTTCAACGATCAGAATGTATCCACGGTGAGTAGCTTAGAGCCACTAGATGCTGTCAGAGATTGCATATCCTCTCTTACGTTCGCAGATCACACAACAGGACATTCAGCGCTCCTTTGGCGGCCCCAATGGCAGCTATTACTCCAGCGCTTATACGTCCAGTACGAATGCTTATATGCTAATGTATCGCCAGGTTGATAGCAAGCGGAATGAGCATGCGGCCAAGTGCAATGACTTTCCCGAACACATCAAATCACTTCTGCCTAAACTGCATGCCGAGGAGGATACGCGCGTCTCCCGCCTGGGCAGACACATCACGGTGACAGATCTGGCTCTGCCAAATCTGTACAAGCCCCGCGTCTACTTCTACAATCCGACGCTGAAGAAGATGAAGATGACCCGTGTGTATCTGTCGCAGAATTTCGATGTGAATAAGGTTCTGACGTCGGCCCACGACATGCTCAATGTGGAGCAGTTCGCTCCGATCTCACGCTGTCGCTTGGTTGCATACGACTCGTCCATGGACACGATCATACAGTCACTTGAGAACTGCACCGATCCGGCTCTAACCGAACTGCGTTCCCACAACTACAATTTGGACTTTTTGCTGGAGTATAGGGCCGAGGATCAGCAGTTTGAGAACTATCCCAGCGATGGCACTACGTGGTATGTTTTTAAGGTAGATCTCTCGAACATGGCGATGGACGGTCCCTTCCTGGTTTATTCAGCAGCGCTGGAGTGCAACGACGTGCTGCGTCGTTCAATTGCAATTCGTTTGCACATTGACGAGCAGAAGATCGTGGTGGCCACCGTGCGCTGCAAGGCCTTTGTGGCGTACGATCCCAACCCGACACTGGAAACACAACAACAGCTAGAGCAACTGGCCAACTCACAATTCAAATACATCACATACTTTTACTTAAATGTGCCTAACACCGATGCCAGCAGCCTCGAGATGCTGGGCGTGCCCAGCAGCGAGCCCATTGCAACGCCGATCGAGGTAGGTAACTTGACCATTGACCCATTGACCCATTGACCCATTGCCCAGCCCAGTTGACAACAAAGATTGCGGCCCATATTAAATAGTTTTTAGTGTAAAATGCAAGTATTGAAGAAATTTGTGAAAGTCCAAGTAACTCCTCTCCCCATCGCAGGCCACCAACAATGGCAGCGCCGGCACCGATGTAGTGGATGCCTCCATGATGAACGGCATCAGCGGCACAAACGGCACGGCAACCCCCGAAGCTGCCAACGCCGGCAACAACGACTGTGATTGGCGTCGCTATAAACGCGATCAGCCTGATTCGCTGGCGCTTGCGACGCCCGGCCACGAGTCCAACTCGGAGGACAGCAGCCTGAGTGACGGTGATCGCACACTGGTCGAGAATAGCTTGCAGCATCGCGGTGGCGGCGATAGCCAAGTCAGCTCCACCAGCCATTCACCGCAGCTGTCCAGTCCCGAGGACGAGGCCGCCTCCCACGACACCATGATGCGCGTGCATGCCTATTGCAATGGCAACGGCAGCTATGGCAGCGACGCGGGCGATGCCAACTCCCTGCCAGCTAGCTCAACCAACCACTTTTTCCATGCCATCAAGATCGACTGCGTGGATACGGCCGCCAGCAGCAGCACCAGCGGCCATCAGTCTGATGAGGAGGCGCAACTGCGTAAGCCGACGCACGCTTATAAACTTCTCGTGGGCACCCACATGCGCATGAGCGCCTTCGAGCGGCACATTGAGCAATTGATACACGTGCCCAGCAAGTACTTTAAGTTACAACGCAAGCATGATAATACCCTATCCAATGATCAGGCCAACTCGCTAGTCTTCCTCAATGAGGGCGAGACGCTGACTGTTGAGATCGGCAAGACGCTGCAACCGTTCGAGTACAAGGCCAAGATATATTTCTTGCGTCTGTCTGACCTGGACAATGAGACCGCCAAGCTGCCGTGCGTCTGTGAGTGGGTGTACAATACCACAACCACTGTAGAGCAGGCCAAACAGGAGCTGGTGGCCAAGCTGCATCGCATCGATGCCAAATACACCTCCCTCACCGTGGACAACTGCCGCATCTGGCTGAAAGGCGGCCGCTGTCCCATCAAAATACTCGCGGACGATGAAACACTGTACAACGATATGCGCACTGGTTCCCTAGAGGTGAGCACAATACTATTTCCATACATGCATATATATGTATGAGCATATCTAATTCGTGTCTGTTCTGTTTTGTCAGTTCATTGTGCAAGAGTGTGAGGATGGTGTGGTGGCACAGCCCAAGGAGGATGCGTTAACTATATTCGTGCGTCGCTGGTATCCAGAAAAATGGGAGTTTGGCAAATTTCAGGAAATCACAATCGACAGTAAGCCAGATATAATGGATAAATTAAATCAGCATTTTACTAAATCTTTATTCCACTTGCAGAGGACAGCGAAATTAGAAGTTGTTTATCAAAAATATGCGATATTGATATTGACCGATTGAGTTATACAAAGGTAGCATCTTTACATATATATATCTATCTTTTATCACATGAAATTCCGCCTTCCAGCTTAACAGCTATTTTCCCTGCACAAGCATATCGGCAGTTAGCGTGAATGAGGCCGTGAACTGGATGTCTGTGGCCGTCGGCCTGGACATGTATCCCCTGAACACCACGCAAAGCGGCAACATGTATTTGTATAAGTAAGTGGGAGAGGTTCAGTTGGCTCTGTAATGCAACACTCAATTTACGGTTATTGCTTGCAGAGATAAGAATGCGCCGGTGCGAGAGTTGTCGGCAGAAGAGCGCCGCTCGTTGACCAATAAGGAGAAGGCGCGCCTGGATCGACTCGGCTGCATTTCAACGCCCCGCTACTCTCATCGACGCGAACGGGCGCTGAAGATTTATTTAGATTCGCCGGAGAAGCCTAGCAATGTGACCGCCTCGGCGCCGGTAGATGCACATGCCGAAAACTAATTGCCTCACTGGCACTATCATCATCGTTGTCGTTTTACCCCGCTCCCGCGCTGACTGTAGTAGACTTGTTTGTTATATAATCGGATCAGCAAATACATGCAACATGTATTTCAGCTAAACACAAACGCAATCGATTGAAATCTACGAGTCCAGTAACGGCGCCTCTCCACTTTGATTGCATATTTTATTTCGTATATCCCGCGACGCGCACTTTCGTTCTCATAGTTGTCGTGTTCTCATAGTAGTTCTCGTAGTTCACCACTATTCACTTCATACGATCATTCGTAGCAATTGTAATATGTAATTTGTTTTGTTGTTCAATTTTGTTGACACAATTTCGTTTCGCATGTCGGTATGGAGCGCTCGCTGATGGGGCTGGCTGTTGGGGAATTGGGTGTCCTAGTAACATTAACGATAACAACAAATATTCTTGCTACTTTTGTAATACAAGAGTTCAGAGATGAGACTGTGTACAATTTTATTTACATGCAAGAAATTAAAAAAAAAAGAAAAGAAAATATAAGATTGTGAAAATAACATAATATGCAAAACAAACAAAAAATAAAAGAAAAATTATTTGTATTGGAAATAATCATCATGGCTCATTTTATTAACGTCTCTTTACTTAAACATATTAAGTGATATATGAAACAGTCTAATGATACATCCAACCACAGTCCAAGAAAACTCGTATTTATTTATCGACTTTTTTTTATATAAAATGTTAATTTTATTTAATACCTACTACGCGCGGGGTTCTTAACGTTTTTGTTTTCTTTTCTTGAATTATAAGTTCGTTTTTAAAGATAACGTTTACTTTAAAAATTACAATTACAATTCTTCGTTGCGATTTGAAACAAACCGATTGTGAAATTTCAAAACGATAAAATCAGTACGCTTTTTGAAAGGAGGGAAATATTTATAGAGCTTGTCGCACTTTCAGCTTTTCGGGTTGGAAAAACGCAATAAGCTTTCAAGTGCTTGTTTTTCTTGTTTCTTTTGTTCTTGTAGTGGAAATATTTAAAGTTCTTGGAACGAAAACGAATTATGTTGTTGTCAAATGGTTTCTCTGCTTTACTAATCAACGAATTCTATAGTAAAATTTTAAAGAGCGGCAGCAGTAGGCAGCGCAATTGTTCACATTGTAGTTGCTTTAAGGGGGCGTGTTTTGTATGGTATGCAGACGAGAGCAGCTTATGCCTTGGTCTCAACGGCCGGCGCCGATTCCACTTTTGTCGCCGCACCACCAGCGGCCGCCTTCTTGCCTTTGCCCTTGCCCTTGACGGGTCCCAATGGCTGTGCGACCAGTTCCTGGAAAGATATCAAACAAGTTACAAAGTTAGAATTGAGATCGCGCATGATCAGTAGAGGATTTTGCTTACCTTCAGCTCGGGTTGCGCGATGCTGTATTCGCTAACGTAGCTGTCGACGTTGAACGGTATGCCGGTAACCAGGTTGACGCCGTTGGGCATGAGCAATACCGTGTGTTTGAACTGTGCCACAATTTCAGCTACAAGAAAAAAGCATAATATTTTTAGATTACATTTTCAGAGATATTAACAGCTGGGAATATATAGGAACTTTTGTAGCAATGGCATGTTCAGACCGAGGCCATGAAAAGAGGCAACTGCTGAAGACGCCAAAGCCTTTGGAGCTTTATTCTAGCAAAATGTCTGGCCGAGGTTGGCAGCTCAAGAGTTACACCAAATCCGGAATTAAGTTTTGCAGGATTAACAAACAAATCTATAAAGAGCAAACTTACAGGGCTTCTCATAGAGCACTTGGAAGGGCTCAATCATCTTGTGTGAGACGCATTCAACGACTCCCATGCGCGCCTTGGTCTCTTCCTCGAAGCTGCGGATGTTGAAGGGCATGTTGCCATACTTGGTTTTCACCTCGGCGAGTAGAGCACGCGATGCCTTCAGCTTAAGCATGTAGTTCTCGTCGGACTTCTTGTAAATGGAGACCTTTGTGTCCTTCTCGCGTCCCTGAAACATAAACCCGACTGTTAGCAAAGCTGCGTAGGCATTCAACCAACAAATTGCTATATATTATGATGCGTTCTCAGATCTCATAATCTTACAATCTCCGGACCAGCAATAGCGCAGCTTTGAGTCTGACATGTGCCGAGCTGTTAAAACACAACACGCTAAGCACACAAGGCGCGCTTACATGATCAGCCCCATTGCCGTGCCCAGCCAATCCTCAAGCGCGTGTTTTTAATCATTGAACAAAGAGAGAATGGGAGTAGCTCTCATGGAACACAATGCTTACCACGCCTTCGCCGGTGCTGACGATGACATCGATGGCATAAACCTCGTGCTTCTCAAATGTGCACTTCTCATGCTCCTTGCGTTGGGCCTCACTCGGGTTCTGTATGATCGTTTTCTCACCATCGATTTTGAATTGCTTCAGCTCGTGACTGAGCATGCCCTCAATGGGCTTGCACTTGTACGACTCGCTGATTTGTTGCACGGCATCGGTGATTGAGTAATTCTATAAATAGGTACAAGACATGGATACATTTGTAGGTTTACAGCTAATATCTATACTAAATATAATATTTGATGAGCATTTGGGCTAAATATAATTATTTTAACAAATTGTGTGCAATTGTAAAGACCGAACATTTCTGGGTATAAACTCGTTCAGTTCACGAAATTGCCGCAATTGATCTCTGCAGACGTTGAGCTGTACTGTGCCATTTATATTTGTTGGGCAGCAGCCAATCCGTTGCCTGCAGCAGAAGGATTACTATATATATTTGGGAATGTGAGCAATCAACACTAGCCCAGCCATCGATCTGATGGCAGCGCATTCGTCAATTGTCGCTAATGATCTGTGCAAGTGTTGAGATGTGCTGGCGCTGTGTTTAATACGCTAGACAATCCGTTTCTTGCAGGCAAAGCAGCCTAGACAGACAAACACTTACACTGGAACCGGCCTTGAGCAGACGGAGCGCCGCTTGGGCGGCCCAATACGCGGCCAAGATGACATCAGCTTGACGTCCGGTTACTTTCTGATCGGCGCCAACGACAATTGTGTGTGCCGCAACAGCAATGAAGCCATCAATGTGGGCACCCAGGTCGCTGTAAATAACCCATAAGTACATAAGGTAAACTAATTAAATGTGGGCTAACAAGAGCGAGTCGAAATACTTACATTTTGACCACATCGCCCGCCTTTAGCGTGTAGTCGGCATCGTTCTTAGCTGGCGAAAAGTGACAGACACAGTTGTTGACCGAGAGACAGGTCGGAAATGCGATACCCTTCTTCAGTTCCTTTTCCTTTTTGTATACCTACAGATGACAGCGTGTTAATCGATTTATCATGTTAACATTGCCAATTGGCTGTTTGCCAACTGTGTCCTCAGATCTCATAATCTATGAATCTTTGGGCCCCAGAGCGCGCACGTCGACCACAGACTGCGTTCGAAACGCACGTGGGTGAAAATTTCCACACACGCGGCGCACACACATGCAGCCAGTCCGCAGCAGCGCGCACGCAGGAGATCCTCAATTGTGTACGTTTTAATCATTGGACTAGTTTCTACAATTTAGTGATGGGTTTTCGGTTTTTAGTGGTAATATCCAGTTGAAACTTACTTTGCCGGTTTCTTCAGTCAGCAGATTGTCGCCCTTGGTGCATATTTCCCTCACTGAAGCGTCCGCTACACAGAGTTCAATCACTGTCTTCAGTGTTTCTAAAATTAAGCACATCAAACAGAAATAGTCGAGTTATTTCCATGTGAAACGAGTTTCGGCACGTCTCGCGTGGCATTGTGAATCTCTCATTCACATTGCAATTTCATCTTGGGCCTCCGAGTTTTTGTATGAAGCTGCAGCTCAAAAAGCTGTTTTAATAACTTTTCATTCTTATAAAATTTTTTTTTTTACATTCAACTAAACAATTCGACTCCCAAAAACTTTGAGGTTATGCACGCTACGCTCTCACATATCCCGCGTACACCGCCGCGTGGCTACTTAAAGCAACGGCGACGTCAGCGTCAGCGCYGAAGTCTTCGTTAGCTCCATTGTTGTCGGCTACACGTAGCGGCCGACGAATAAATGCAGAAAATTCAGATTTCACTTTCACTTTGCGACGCATTTGTCAATTACGTTCCAATATTTACTTACTATTTACAATTTCGCCAGCTAATTTGTATTTGGTAACAACCAAATCTTCAGCAATGGTCTTCTCAGGCTCCTTTTCTACGTCTGCCATTTTTAAAATGAAACAAAATGCGAGAGCTGCTAAATGACGAAATGATGTTTTTAAGAGTATATAGTGTTACCAGATATTTAATTGAGAACATCGAACTGGCAGCACTGATTTGTGTGCGACCAATTGTAAAATTCAGGCTGACCATATTCTGTAAACAGCTTTATCTGTCTGGTAGCACCAATTCTAAATATATATCGCGTTTATCGACTGCCGACTTATAAAATAAACAAACCCGTATTTGCTATCATTAAAAAGTTAATTATTTACTTAAGTCGTAATGCATATTGCAATTCAATTATGCAATATTAAGTAAGGCGTTATTAATGTTGCTGTGCATTGCTTTGCTTGGCAAAAAATAAAATAATACTAATACTGTGATAACGCCGCGCACATAACGTCGCTGACACACACGCTACACACTAGCAGTCACAATTAATTAATATAAAATTTAAAAAAATGATACCGATGCGTACTGAAACATAACGTCGCTGGCAGCACACGCACACATACAATGGTGGGTGAGAGCGAATCAGGCAACGCACACGACGTTATCAATATAAATGGCAATGGCAAAGCACTGCAGACGGCTGCATCCGCTTCCCAATCGCCGTCACAGCGTAAACTCTCATCCGCATCGAAGGCGACGACAACGGAATTGCGCATTCTCTGCTTTGATCTAACTTACTACAATCGTACCACTAAGTTTTTGTTGAGTTGTGCTGGCGTTTTTATACTTTACATCATCTACGGATATCTGCAGGAGCTGATATTCACAGTTGAGGGCTTCAAACCATATGGATGGTTTCTCACCCTAGTGCAGTTCGGCTACTACATTGGCTTCGGCCTGGTGGAACGCCGCTTGGAGGCCTACCGAACAAATGGCGGCCCAATCTGGAGCGTTCAGCCAGCACCACGCAGCATACCGTTGCAAACATATTTTGTGCTTGCCGCGCTTACGCTCGGCACAATGGGCCTGTCGAACTCGAGTCTTGGCTATCTGAACTATCCCACTCAAGTAATCTTCAAGTGCTGCAAGCTAATCCCTGTGCTCGTTGGCAGCATCATAATACAGGGCAAGCGTTATGGTCCTCTGGACTTTGCTGCTGCAACAGCCATGTGTGTGGGCTTGGCATGGTTTACGCTGGCCGACTCGCAGCTGACGCCCAACTTCAATCCCCTTGGCGTCGCCATGATATCCGGCGCATTGTTGTGTGATGCCGTCATTGGTAATGTCCAGGAGAAGGCGATGCGGGAGCACAAAGCGTCTAGCAGCGAGGTGGTTTTCTACTCCTACGGACTAGGCTTTGTCTATCTGTTTGTGATCATGCTGCTCACCGGAAACTTCTTTAGTGGCTTCGCCTTTTGTTTGGCCCATCCGTTAGAAACTTTTGGCTATGGCTTCCTGTTCAGTCTCTCCGGTTATCTCGGCATACAATTCGTCTTGGCTTTGGTCAGGAGCAGTGGAGCTCCGCTTGCTGCTACGGTGACCACTGCGCGCAAGGCAGTCACCATTGCCTTCTCGTTCCTGCTCTTCAGTAAACCCTTCACAGTGCAGTAAGTAGAAATTCATCATCAATTTGATCTATACTAAAACTCATGTTTTCCCATCTTTTAGATATATCTGGTCTGGGCTAATCGTTGTCTTGGGAATTTATCTGAATGTATACAGCAAGAAGAGCAAACTGACCTTTGCAGACTTACAGCATAGGCTTAAGCAATGCAGTGCGAGATTATCTCGTTCCTCAAGTCGCAAATTCCTTATTGAAGTATAATCGAGTTTACCAAAAACCATAAAATCGGAACAATATTTATGAGATAACTATGTACTATTCTTAAGTATTCATAAAGCATTCAAATTTAAAAGCTGTTCTATCTATCTGTCCATGTCAAGCTCCATCACTCGTTTGAAGAGATCCTGACGTTCCTTTGCGGATGCCACTTGACCCATCATGCGATCCAAAAACTGTCGCTGATGATTGATTATAAACTTGTTGCACTGTATAATGGTGGCACCCACGTAAAGAGTGCGGAACTTGGCACGCACATCGCCTATCTGGAATTAATATTTATTTATGCACATATTTATATACATTACTTTATATGGTATTGTATTACCAACGTTATCAGCGGCAATATACTCGACACATAGCGTTGTCCACGATGCAGGCAGCGTATGATTGCAATTTTAGTGCGCTCATTGCAGTATTTCACACGGAAACCGTGCTCCAAGATTCCCAATCCGTAAACTCCGTAATATTTCTCAACATTTTGCAGCAAGCATTTAGTGAGCGTATGGTCGTTGAGACGGAGGGTGTTCACCGGTGCATATGGTACAATTTGTACGGCTATATAACTGATAAGCAATAGTGGCGGATATTTTATTAGCTGTCAGTTATAAATACGAGTATTTATTTAATTAACTTACCGATTTTTAATGCGCACCATTGTAAACAAACACGAGCTGTTGCTGCGCTGCGTTGCCAGACTGTCAAAATACGCTTGCGGTGTGCCGAGCGACCGATTAATCGTGACGGAATAGCATTGATCGTGAAATGCGAATGGCCTTGTATAATGAGAGTAACTTGTGTAATTGTGAGACGAATGAGAGCGGAAGAGAGTGAAAGAGTGAATAAGAGAGAGAGAGAGAGGAGAGTGCGCGCGAGATGTTTGCAATTTAAATATTTCAGTACCTAATCTAATCCGTAATTGCGAACGAGTTTTTAGTACGCAAGCAACGCTCGTACCTGCTGGAAGTTCTAGTAAGTAGGCATAATGTTGAATGATTTACTATGTAAATGTTTTTGTTACATTCATTAGGTATGTCTCAAATTTCAGGCAGATTTGCATAATTGAAAAATTAATTAGAATGTTTATTAAAAGGGGATTGTCACAACCAGTTACTGTTTATTTATTTTTTAAAGTAGCGGCTTTCAGGCCGATCCAATTTACCCSTAGCCACGGCCTCAGATCCAAAACAGACYCTATTCACCAGATCTATTAGAACCGATAGCGGTACAATTCCACCTCTCGAAATTCTTATCAGTTTATGTTAGGCATTTGAGGCGAGCTGGCTTTAATAACATTTGTACGTTGTTACAGCAGACGCAAATACTGTAATATGCCGAGCCACCAGTACTTTATAGGCGTGGATGTGGGCACGGGCAGTGCGCGAGCAGCGCTGGTCAATACCAAGGGTCAAGTGGAGCACCAGGCCGTGGAAAAGATCAAAACATGGACACCCGATCCGGAGTTCTATGAGCAGTCGAGCGACGACATTTGGCGTGCAGTCTGTAAGGTTGTCAAGGTAATGTACAGTTATATGATAACCTCAAGATCGTTTCAAGATTAGATTAACCTAGAGCTCGTTTGCAGCATGTCATTAGCAATATCACTAGAGCACAAGTGAAGGGCATTGGCTTCGATGCCACTTGCTCCCTGGTCTTGATTGATAAAAAAGGCAGCCCGCTGACTGTAAGCAAGACTTCTGTAGATGAACAAAATGTCATTCTTTGGATGGATCATCGCGCCGCTGAAGAGGCGGATCAAATAAATGCCACCGCGCATCCCATACTTAAATACGTGGGGGGCAAGGTGTCTCTGGAAATGCAGATGCCCAAGCTGCTCTGGCTCAAACGTTACCTGCCGTACTCATTTAACAATATGGGGCGGGCCTTCGACCTTCCCGACTACCTCACCTGGCGTGCAACAGGTGTCGATACTCGCTCCCTCTGCTCTGTGGTCTGCAAGTGGAACTATGATGCCGAGGAGAATAAATGGAACGCCGACTTTTTGCGTAGCATCGATCTCGAGGAGCTGACGCGCTCAAATTTCTCAATTATTGGCAACCACATGGAGTCACCCGGCAAGCCCGTGGGCTCGGGCCTAACCAAGTTAGCTGCCGAAGAGCTGGGCCTGCTACCAGGCACAATGGTCAGTACGTCCCTAATCGATGCCCATGCTGGAATATTGGGTACGCTTGGCTGCCAAGCAGAAGATATTGACGAGGATATAACCACTAGAATGGCTTTAATTGCCGGCACATCCACCTGCCACATGAGCTTGACCAAATCCATTTGCTTTGCGAAGGGCATTTGGGGTCCGTACAAAAGTGCCGTGCTACCCGGCTACTATCTGAACGAGGGTGGCCAATCGATTGCGGGCCATTTGCTGGACCATATACTGAAATCGCATGACAGCTACGCTACGCTTAAGGATAAGTTGGGCGGAGATAAGTCAGTGAATATCATCAGATTGGGCATTACTTATTTATTATTCTATAATGCTTTTGCTTATTACAGATATATTTACCAGCACCTCAACCAGTTGCTGCCAAAGATAGCCGCGTCGCAAGGCCTCCCCGACATGGCCTACCTAACGCAGGATGTGCACGTGTGGCCGGATCTGCACGGCAATCGTTCGCCCGTAGCGGATCCAACGTTGCGCGGCATGGTAAGATATCTATATAATATTTAATATTCTTTTTTGTAAGCACAACTCTTTATTCGATTAGATAACTGGACTGGATATGGCGCGCGGAGTGGAGTCGCTGGCCATTATCTATTTGGCCTTCGTTCAGGCTCTCGCTGTAAGTGAATGTGACTCTGTTTCGGGGATTTGTGTTCATCACGTATTTATTTATACTTGATATTTTCGATATAGTACGGCTCACGGCACATTATTGAGAATCTTTACCACTACAAACGGCCGCAGTTCAAATCGATGCTCTTCTGCGGCGGCTTGTCCAAGAACCCGCTCTATTTACAGTGCCATGCGGATATTTGCAACCTGCCGTGCTTGGTTCCTTACGAGGAGGAAATGGTATTGGTAGGCGCTGCCGCCTTAGCCGCAGCTGCCTTTGGCCAGTACAATAGCCTGGAGGTGTGTGTAATGTACAGAACTACATCTCGACTAAGAATATTAAATTCTCTTCTGTGTTTTTCTCTTTGTAGGCCGCCGCGAAAGCCATGTCTGGCATGGGGCGTGTGATAAAACCTAATGAGAAAACACATGAGCTGCATGATCGAAAGTACAAAGTCTTTCTGAAGCTACTGGAGAATCAATACGAGTATAAACGCATTATGCATCCAGACAGTGCATAAGGATTCCACACAACTACGATTCGATGGTCAACACTTGAAACGAATTTTTATCAATAATGTAAACTGCACACTAATTAGAGCTCAAGTAACAAACACTTATGAGACGAAGACAGGTACAGTTGATCTAACTGGGCTGAAATCCAGAGTTAGGCAATAAATGCAGCCGCCTTCGAGTCGATTTTGCTGCGGCAAACTGGGCACGTAATTTCAATTTTTTGGGCGCAATCCTCACACAGGCAGACATGTCCGCAGGGCAATAAAATGATCTGGAAGCGCCAAAGTAGCAGAAGTCATTAGTGATGGGGATTATACACTATAATATGTAGTCATCCTACTTCTTTGGGATTGGTGGAGCAGACAACGCACAGTTGATCTTGGCTCAAGGTATGCGGCCTGTTGCGTGCTCGTCGCTCTCTACGCTCCACTTCGAGGCGCTTGCGAATCTTTGCTTCCTCATGTTCTTGCTTCTTTCTGCGGTACACTTTCCGTACGATCAGACCCACCAATACCATTGATATGCTGCTGCACAATACAATTTTAAAGCTGCAAGAGTATACGTATGAGATAGGAAACATTTAAGGCCGTAAGTTAGCTTACAGCATAGAAGATTTGGCATCCTCGAAACGTTTGATGAGTGTTGACTTTGTGGCCGTGGTCAGGAACAGTGGTCCTTCTTTGGATGGCTGCATGCGCAGCGTTTCGCCATCCAATTCCAGTTCGCCAATGGCGGTCAAAAAGCTGCCGTCACGCAGCACCTGTTCGGTAGTCTGCAGCCCCTTCTGTCTTACGCCCGTAAAGAATCCAAATATGTGATCAAAGAACGACAGAGATGTGGACTCATAGTTATCGTAGACCACGTCCACATCCAACACAGCGGCACTCATTGCATCTACAATTTCCACACCATGCGATTGATTGCGTAGCTCAAAGGGCATCTCGTTGACGCTCTCGTGCAGCATCTTTCGCTGCTCTGCCCAGAAGCCGGCAAAGGCTCGCATCACCCGATGCTCATGTAGCTTTACAATTTGGAGAACGCCGCTCACACTGGGCACAAACGAGCTGCGCAGTGGCACACCAATTGGGGAGACAGTGCCGCGAATGACAGCATACGGAATCTTCTTATCCCGCTGCCGTGACACAATATTTTTTAGTTCGCCATCAATATTATACTGCGGCGCCTCCTACAGGTACATACAGAATTTCGTTATGATTATGCAGGCACTACTACCAAGAGCTGATCGTCTTACCTTCAACACTCTCGCGGTGTTCTTATAGTTCACATATTCGCGCACACAGAGGCCTAAGATGAGTATGTCGACGCCAAGCGCAACAGCTTCGTGTACGAAATCCATTCGAAATGGTCAAAACAATATCTATAAATGTTTAAAGCGAGTTTATTGTGTCGGTGTGCCTGTGCAGAGCACAGCTGTGATATGCTAGATTTCAATTGGGATGCTATCTATTTTCGATAACAAAAATACCAAACAAACTTATGCTATCAATGTCGATAATTACGAAATAATTTTGACTGTTATCGACTTGCTAGCGCGCTCAACTTTTGATTTAAATTTAACTGACTGTTGCAAATCAAAGTAAACAGTCTGCGCCAATATTTAAATAACGCAAACACAAGTTAAGTGCTTTCTGTTTGTATAGAGAAACTGTGAAAGGTCATATAAACAAAAGTAATGCTAACCAAAGACTTTGTCCACAATGTTTTCTGTGTCAATATGAACCCATTTACTCATCAGCAAAGCATTTCATTCTAGTCAATTCTTTTTTGTAATCGTTCGTTGTTGTAATGGTTACCTTTTTGTTTTTTTTTTCCCCCTTTGCTCAACTCGAAACTTTCGCAAGATATTAGATACACAGACACACGCACACACAGATAAATGTAGAACACTCGTATTGATATAAAGATGGGCTCTCGCGCCCAGTGCCACAATCGAAGATATCTTTTACCTTAGTGCGTCTGCTATATTTGGGCTGTGAGTCAAAGTGTTTTTGTAGTTCCCAGCTACGCAATCAAATCAGACAATTTAAGTACTTTGCAGCAATTAGACGTGCTCAAACTAACAGTGATCTTCACTCAAACAACATGTCCTGTAATAAGCTGTATTTTAGCATGGTAAGAGTTAACAATATTAATTATCGTTGAATTATTTCTAGTATACATCTTTCTCTCTCTCTTTGTGTCTGTGTGAAATAGCTACTGCTCTACGTCATCAATTTGATGAGCGCTGCCACGGTTACCATGCGCATCTTTCAGCCCCGGGAAACGAGCAGCTGCGAGGCAAGACAGACACCTGGACCCATTTGTGAGTCGTGTGAACTGCTCGCCACTTGTGTGCAGCACTCGAACGGCTGGGTGAATATACCCGTCGAATCGTGTGATGTGGCCAACGGATACTATTGTAATGTGCGCCTGGGCACGTGCTCGAATGCCACTGGCCCCTGCCATCCGTTTGGCATTGTGGGCAACTTTCAGTGCACTTCGCAGGGCATCTTCCCGGATCCCTACGACTGTCAGAAGTATCACATGTGCTACTTTGTGGGTGCCACTCTGGTGGCAGCTGCTGTCGACTGTGGCAATGACAAAGCCTTCGACGCTCGCACCGGCCAGTGCTCAATGACGCTGGAGAGCCGGGTGTGCACTCAGCCGCAGTACCACTGTCCCAGCGTGGGCTATGTGGCCGCCTGGCCCAGTAATCCCAACATATTCTACGTGTGCAAGTCGACGGTGAATCAGATTCTCAATGATTCTGTCGTCATTTATCCATCGCTGCATCGCTGCAACGACGGGGAGATCTTTGCGGATTTCGTCTGTCGTCAAGGAAACCCGGGCCACCCCTCCAACCCGTCCAACCCGGACCAGCCCGAAATTGTGGATCCCAACGATGACGGCTTCAGTGTAATGCCAGGCAAATGCGCACACGTCGGTCTCATGGCCGACACGCACGACTGCCACAAGTACTACTACTGCTCCGCCCTGAATGGGACGATGCGCCACTTGGAGTGCCCGGCCGGCACCTACTACCGCAAGGAGCAGTCGGCCTGTGTGCTGGGCTCTTGCTAAATCTTAAATAGTACCTAATTGATTTTTCGAAACTCTGTTCTCTTTTGGGCTCTAATGAAGCATCATTAACTATTATCTTTTAATTATGCCTTTGACATATACCACGCGCAGTTATCTCTGACTATTTAAGCGGCTGCCGGCTGCCATTTCAGTCAACAGTCTTTGAAATGAATTGGGTTAAGTTGTTGCTTCCACTGCTGGGGTCTTTGGTGGGCTGCCAGGGCAATGGCCATGCGATTGATTCCGCCGAGCTGGTGACAAATCCCTGCCAGGAGATACGGCTGGCCGGCTTTGTCTGCGTCGATTGCGCCACGCTCGGCTTCTGCTCGAACGTGGATGGCCAGTGGCAAACGGTGTCCATGACGAGCTGCCAATCGGAGCGCGGCTTCTTCTGCAGCGATGAGGGCTCCATTGGGTGCACCTGGCAGCCGAAATGCCAAGTGCCAGTGCGCGGAAAATTCTACTGCCAGCAGCCGGGCATATTTCCGGATCCGTACGACTGCCGCAGCTACCACGAGTGCAGCGAACAGAACGTGGACACGTCGCGTCAGTGCACCAATGGCGCTGCCTACTCCCTGCTCACCAACAGCTGCAGCCTGCCGCGGGAGAGCGAGCTCTGCTCGGAGAAGCAGTACAGCTGCAGCTACGTGGGCCAGACGGGCGTCTGGGCTGCCCACAACAGCTACTACTACATCTGCCAGAAGGACAAGGTGGGCGCCCAAGATGTCTTCTACCCACTGATGATGAAGTGCAGCGATGGCTACAGCTTCAATGGCCACAGCTGCGTACCGGACACCAAGTTCAAGCAGATCGAGCCAGCCGTGGCTAGCTGCGAGGAATCGAAGCTCTATGCCGCTGAGTCTAAGCATGGCTACCTCTTATGCATAAATGGCGAACTCATGAGCTACGAGTGCCCCGAGGGCTCCATCTTTGATGGCATTAGCGCTGTGTGCAAGCCGGAGCAGTAGAGGGGCTCCATGTAATCCCATTCGACAACTTCAGTTGGAGCAATAAAATACGATTATTAAGCAATTATGTCTAGGTTAACTCGTGTACCTGGCCTTATCTTATCAATATCACTCAACTATCGCCTTAGCACTTCCGCAGCTTTGCTCATCGAATATTATTTAAGCTACTGCTGGAGCGACGCGGCAGCAACAGTCTTTGAGATGGATTCCAAGTTATTGCTGCTGCTGCTCCTGCTGCTTACCCTGAYTGCCAAAGGGAGCTCCGAGGAATGTCGCACTGGCATGATTTATCCGGCGGACTCTGTTTATGAGTACAGCTACTGCTTGAATGGAACACTACAACTGGAGTCGTGTCCCCTGGGCAGCTACTTTGATGCGCATTACCTCATGTGCCGCCATGGAAATCCGCCCGGAGAGGGCGGTACGGGATTTAACTCGGGCAAATGTCAGCGCGTGGGCTTAGCCGGCGACTTGACCAATTGCAATCGCTTCTACCACTGCCCGGGCAAGGGCGCTGACATGGAGCTGCGCAGCTGCAGGCCGGGTCAGGTCTTTGACTTGGGCAAATTTACGTGCGTCGCGGGCAACTGTTGAGCTGTACAAAACATTTTATTCGTACAAAAAAAAAAAAAATAATGATAACAAATCTTATATGGCTAATAAAATGAGACAGAGACGCGAATTAGTCGTCGCATTCGCGCACAACGGGATGCAGCACAATGGAGGCGCCATTGCAGCCAGTGCGATCCGAGATGAAGTCATGGAAATTGCTCTCGAGCGCCCACATGAACCGCTTGTGGCCCGGCAGCACTTGGGTGGAGAGGCGACAGTCGCCGCCACGCTGCACCTCCTGCAAGTTGGAGGCCTTGAAGCAGGTCTCCGAGTCCCACAGATAGATGTCGTTCTCGCCCTTGTAGCGGAAGAAGAGCGAGGTGCCGCCATCGGCGCCCAGCAGCACCGCCTGCTTGCCATAGGGTTTCGGTCCCACATCGATGATGGAGCCAGCGCCCTGGCCCACCCTCAAGTACTCGCCCTTAATCGAATAGAGGCGCGACGAGCTCAGGTAGCTGAAGAAGAGCGTCGAGGTGCCGTCGGGCTTGGCAGTCAGCGCTACGTAGAGCACATCGTTGGTCGGAGCTGTGGCTCGGGGCAAGACGATGCGATACGATTTGTTGCCAGTAATATCATAGACCAGAATGCTACGAGCTCCAGCATCTGCCACATAGCTGCAAGAGAGAAAGAGCGGGAGAGAGCAAATATAGATATCAGATTGAAAATTTCGAGCTAGGAAATGTTCTACTTGCTCTACTTTCAATTGGGATTAGGCATCTCCTTTAGGTACTTACACAAAGGGCTTGTTATCCTTGGAGTAGTCGACGACAATGAACTGCAAACGGCTCTCGGAGGTCACGAGATCGCTGAGGTCAATGCTTTTCACCACCTTGTTGTTGGCCGTGTTTATGGCCACAATTTTGGGGCTGCAGCGGCGTATGGGCTGCTCCAGTGTGTTCACAATGCCCACGTCCAAGGCCCACAGCAGACCCTATCGAAATGCATATATTATTTGATGTTATTTAAAATATTTTTCAATTGCGTTTGCGGCATGTCGGGAATTTTCAGTTTTTTATGCGCATCAGCAGAAATAATAAAGAGCAATCAAAATTACAAATAAGAAAAAAAAAAAAAAAAAAAAAATCATTTAATTTTGCTGCAATTGCTGAACTGTAAATAATCAAATTCGCGTGCCCATTCTATATATAGAGACATATACATAGATATATACATAGATACATATATAGATATATAAATTATTGTTGTTATTGTTGCAATGAATTCTGCTGAAATACAACGCAAAATGTTTGCATTGAAATTGAACAGAAATAATATTTTGTAAATTTTAAATTAGAGATCAAGGCTGGGAAATAAACATGGAAATATTGCAAAATTTAAAAACTAAATAAATTCGTGATCAAAAATGTATTGAAGCACAAATAAAATGTATATACTCTTCTCATTTCAGTTAATTAAGACTTTATGAAGCTGCGAATAAAGTTCACATTTCGATAAGAAATGTGGCGAATGGTCTTAATTGAAATTGCAATCAAACTGAAGTTGTTTCAAGTATCAGCTTGTTCTCTGAAGTTCATTGGAATGGTTAAGCCTTCAGCTACGGTTTCAGCCATTTCTGCTGTTGACTGTGGAATTTTACAGCATTTAATAGCGAGCGGCGCCGGGGCACAGCATTTATTTGGTTAAAAAAGCCATTTCAGTTGACTAATGAACATATATATAGTATATATATCAAATATATTTACAATGGGAAGCTGCATCAACAAGAAAAACAAGAACTGCATAGTAAGTTTTTCGATGCGAAGGCAACAAATTGCTTTTTCCAGCTAAATTGGCTTGTTAATGCATATGCAAGTGTGCGTATGTGTGTGTGCGTATGTGTGTGTCGTTATGTTGGTGTAGGTATGCATGCATGCATGCCCATTTCAACGGCAAGGCATATCAAATTCAAAAGTCCACTCACATTTTGATCCACGGCCACGTCCACAACGGATTGCAGCGCCTGGCAGTTGCCCTCCTCCTGTATGGCCCAGCAGGGATACGGCGCTATTTTGGCCAAGCACTCGCCCTTCTTCAGATTCACCTTGCCCAGGGTGAAGGGCACGCCCTGCTTGTAGCGCGGCAGTGCCACAAACGCCGAGTCGCGCTGCAGCTGCGCACGCGTCACAATCACATTGCGGGGCACATAGCGACCCGATTGCACGTAGATGTTCTTGGTGGAGTCGCAGGGCCAGTGCAGATTGCTGCCGCTCAGCTGGAAGGTGAGCTCGGTCAGCGGATTCTTATTGCACTTGCTGATGCCAATCGAATTGCCGCTCGAGCTGCTGGCCGGCTCATCCAGCGAGGAGCTGTAGGCGCCACAGCTGACGGCTATCAGCGAGAGGAGCAGCAGCAGCGGCAGCGGCAGCGGCAGCTTCACAGCCATTTTTGTTGTTGCTTATATTAAATGAACTCTTTTCCTTTGCTCGTCGTGCAACTGAAACTGTTTGGTCAGCGTCTGCTTTTGATAGTATAGAAAATTATTGCGGCGCTTGGCGCATTTATATTTATATATGAGATCTCATGCTTCATATGTGACATTTGGCGCGTGTGTTTTAGACGCGTCTGCCCTGGTGCAAGGTCGTCTGCTGAACATGAGGAAACATGTGTCTGACCAGCTAACACGCACACACACGCACACTCACACCTACACACATACATATTTATACAGCAGCAACACTGGCCAGCCATCACGTCTGTCTCGCGCCATTTTGTGCGACACAACGGAAGCAACGAGCTGCCATGTTAGCACCGCCCCCACACCCCGCCAGCAACCATTACCCATCGCCCTTAGCCATCAAAAATCGTTTTGCGGAAGTGAGAAACGTTTGACAGCGCGTGTGCAATCTGCAGCGAAGCAAATATTAATTGTTGCTCTACTGATTCCATCTCAGATACATCGTGGAATTTCATCAACAAACTCAGCACAGTTCAGGCCAAAGGCTACCGCATCTACTGACCTGAAAAAAACTGAGAAACTTGTCCAAAACTTTGCTCTTCATATCGAACGAAGTATTTCTTCGTTAATGTTTACTTTTTGCTTGTTTTGTGTCTCTTGCTGGAAAACAAGCTCGGTTCGAGTGAGCTCGAGAACACGCTGTTGAGTTTGTTGAATTTCAAGATAACTAACATTGTTAAGGCATTTCTCTTCAAATTAAAAAACAAAGAAACACAAGCTGATAACTTTGCTGTTTGATAAGCAAACAGTGTTTGAGCTGCTATTGCAATAGAAAATTTATCTTGAAATTTGCTAATAACAATTGCTTCCAATCTCGTTTTTTCATATTGGGGGTATAGCTCAGGGGTAGAGCATTCGACTGCAGATCGAGAGGTCCCCGGTTCAAATCCGGGTGCCCCCTGGAGTAAAATTTTTTTATTTTACTTTCATCTCAGCAAAATTTAAAGGCACATTGGGTCATAAACAACTTTTGAGCAACCAAAAGCTGCGCCGCCTGCTTATCTCTTCCTCTCTCTCTTTCTCTCTCTCCGTCCCTCTAACATAATGTGCTGGCCTTTGTTAAGAGACCCAGCCAGCTCTGTGAATTATGGTCAAGAGTGTGTTACTTTAAAATACTGGCTGAATTTGAACTGTTCAAAAGGGGAAGCTGACCCTTTTTATGGGGATTGCAGATTTCGGATAGCGGTCTTTGGCCTTCACAATGCGAAATGACATGCAGATTGAATTTGTGTGAAATTCATTTTAACAAACTGTCATAAGTTGCCATATTTTGATGGTAATCTGAAGATATATTTATCTATAATACACAGCTGTAGCGAAAGGTCGGCGTGTGGGCGTTCGTTCGCTCAGCTTGTCTGTGTGCCATCATCAGTCGGGCTGCACGAGTCGCAGATAAATATTTATGCGCTTTCATAAATAAAACCAATAAAATTAAACACAAATTCTGGCACTGTAAAATGCAAGTCATACAAATATGATCTGCCGTCGAAACATGAATAAGGCACAAAATAAAAATATTTCATATATAAATGTGAGAACAAATGTGTTCTGGGTCTGTTTGCCAAAAGAAATATATATGTATACATATAAATGTACATATATATAGAATTCCAGACACGTCAACAAAGCCGGAAAATTTCTTGAATTGTGCAATATTGAAGTAAAGCAAAATCAATTAAAATCCATGTATAAATGCTTAATTGATGGCAAATCGCCCAAAGCAACAAATTGAGTTTGTGCTTGCCTGATAAATATATGAAAACTTTAAGCAAACGTTAACACAAAAACAACTTTGCCGCTCGAATAAAGCCAACAACAGAACAGAAATCGAAGTCGAAAGCGAAAGCCAAAGCCAAAGCAAACGCAAACATGAAAGCACGGCACATAAATTATACTCAAAATGTATAAAAAATGGTGAAGCAAACTGCTTGAATACCCTACATAAGAGACAATAAATTGTGAGCAAAAGCTAACTCTGTTTCTTATAATATTTTTCATAGGGGAGGCTGAAATCTTGGCCCGCTAAAATTAGTGTTATATAATATAATTTATATATATTTAGCCCCCGATTAACTTATTTATTAAATACATTTTAAAAATATATTTGTATTTTGATTAAGGATAATATTAATGTATTAAATACTGTTTTTTTAAAGACCATTTTATTTTAATTTAATATTTAATATTTTTAAAATACTTATTTAAACAAAAAAATTATTTTTTTTTCAAATTTATTATATTAAATTTAATTTAGTAAAATAATTTCATATTATACAATTAAAAAACCCTTTTAAATATTGTTAATTTATGTTTAATTTAATTTTATTTTTATTTAAACTAAAGTTTCATTAATTAAATGCATTCAAAAAATATTCTTAAATTTATTGTAAGGTTTAATTTATAATCTAATTGAATATTTAATTCATCAATTTTATAATATTTCGTATATATGTATGTTTTTATTGGATGAATTTACTCTATATATTTTGGTATTATAAATCTCTCTATTGCCTTTCCTAACATCTTTATAGGAGAGTCATAATGTTTTCTTAAGCACGTAGTTTGTCATTCATCTTCCATTAAATATATATATATCTATTTTTTATCTTATAGACTCCATGCCCTTCCACATCCACATTTATACCCTAGCTAAAATAGCATTAATACAATCATGAAATCAGTTGCCAGCAAGTCGAAATGTTATTATAATTTATGTGAAATTTTGGAACACAAAAAGCAAAAAAATTGTAGCAAAATTTGCTGAGTCCAGCTAGTTTAACGACCCATTTAGCAGAGCAGCAAAGCCAAACGTGACCACAGTCAATATTTGTTTGGCTTTTTATACGTTTTGTTTTCTTTCGCGCGCTTCTAAAAAAACAAAAAGAGATTCAGGAACAAAACTGTTAGACAAAAATCAAATTACATTTAGGGCTATTTGCGTATTCAATTGGCCGTTTATTGCGTTTATATTGAAGTTATTTAAACAAACATCAAATGGGACAAAATTGTGGACTGAGGGCTGATTGTCGTCGGTCGACCTGCCGTTGGCCTAGTGGCTCTGCACATGACGTATACGCCTCGTTAGGCTGGCAATAAAAACTGTTAAAATAAACGGAGGGCAAATAGCCAGGGGCTGAGATTCTTGCCGTGTCTAATCGAGAGTTAGGCTCGCTCACTCACGGTCAGCTCTTAGTTCTCGGCCTCGGTCGCAATTGTTGTCGCTTATCTCTCCGGGCTGTAAGCTAATGTTTGCATAAATTATGTACGGCACGACAGCAGGATGGCCCGGAAGTGCTTGTCATCAATATTTTTTGCCCATACTCATCGAGCTGGGGGAATGTGTTGGTGTGAATCTCTCTGTGTGTGTGTGTGTCTATGTGGAAAAGTGGGGAGATAAATCACGCTGGCATAGGGGGAAGGATTTGCTGGGAAACACATATGCGGGCATTTCCTGACATTTTGGCATGCCAAACATGTCGCGTTGCTGCAAACACTTCGGGCGTTGTCTGTCTGTCGTGCTGCCTTAAAGCTATTTCCCCAACAACATCTAGTCTTCTACGTCTTCTCCTTTTTTTGGTGGAGGAAATCGAGCAGCTGCGTCATGTGCCAAAAGATTTTCTGTAGTTAAGGCAATCACATGATAAGTTAACTCTATTAATAATATTTGCTGCCACGCACTGAGCCGAGCGTTGATTGAGTTATCTGCAGCAATTTAAATTATACATGCATTAGTTATCATGCCAGGCGCAACTTAACTGATTTGCCAAGGCAAACAATTTCCAGAAAATTAACTAAAATTATCCTACAGCGTGGGCAGGCAATCAGGACGCACTTAGTTGGCTTTTGTGCATGTGTGTGGGTGGGTGCATCCTCAATGTGTGTGTGTGTGTGTGTGGGTGTGTGATTCATAGAAAGAATCAATTCATTCAACTCGGCGTGAACTGCATGCAATCTCTTGTAGATACTTTCGTCTGCTTTTGCTGTGCTGTGGCTTCTGCGCGTGAAGTATTTCAATTATTTTTAATGCAATTGGCTGCCAACTGTGTGACACACACACACACACATACACACACGCAGCAGCAACTACTGCAGCTCTTTGAATAGTTTTTGTTTTTTTTTTCTTGGTGTCAGGCCTTCAAGGTTCTTCCACCAAAAAGTTGTTTGCAATCTGAGAAATTGGCTTGCAGCACGTCGCGCATTTCTGGTTACTTCGATGGCTTATATAAAACACGACTTTGTGTGAGCTTCAGAGTTCAGTCAGTTCAATAAATTGTCAGCTGCAGAAGCCCCTACGTTTAAAGATGCGTTCCTATCTAGCCCATTGGCTGGGGCTGCTCCTGGCTATTTGTTTGGCAGCCCACGGGGCCGTTGGCCAGCAGACCAAGTACGGTCTGTGGACACCGGATCGGGCACACGCCGACACACAGCCCATACAGTGGACGGGCGGACAGTTCGAGTTCCCCTGTGCCAGCACCAAGTCGCTCTTCAAGAGCTCCGGCAAGTACATAGCCAAGAATGTGATTGCGACGCGTGCCCAGCTGATTGGCGATACCATCTATTTGGCGCTGCCGCGCTATCGCAAGGGCGTGCCCGCGACGCTGGTGAAGACCAATGTGCAGCCGGGCACCTGCTCGACCACGTTCAAGCCGTATCCCTGCTGGGACCTGCAGGAGGAGGGCAACTGCAAGGCTCTCCAGTCTGTGGTCGATCTGGTTGTCGATCAGAACGAGGTGCTCTGGGTGCTGGACACGGGCATAGTCAACACCCTGGAGACGCCGGTGCGCAAGTGCGCTCCCAAGGTGGTGGCCATGTCCGTGAAGACGGGCAAAGTGCTGAAGACTGTCTCGCTGGAGGGGCTCACCTCGAGCAGCTCTCGTCTGCAGTACCTGGTGGTGGACTATGCGCCCGACGGCGGCTGCTTCATCTACGTCAGCGATGCGGCCAATCGTGCGATAATCGTCTATAATCTGCAAGCGGATCGCGGCTTCCGTGTGGTGCTGCCCA